TACTATTTATTTTACTAGTACTAGTGGTGCTGATTAAAGCCAAAGCCTGAGTGTTTGTTTGAGCTACCATTCTGTATTCCTCCAGTCGTGTGACCGTGTTCAGAATGATTTGGATATTGGGCCCATAGTGATTATTAGGCACCTTGTGCTTATCTTTTCAATGGAGAGCCTGGTCAGGCTGGGTAATACTACATTTCATAAAGTCAGGTGTCTGGATGGCCAATGTCTAAATGCATGTATCTACATAAATCCTCTTGTTTTGTGAGGGTGCTCCAACTTCACGGAATTTCATGTAATGACCACATAGAATTTAAATATGATCTTACTGTGTATACATGTGTAGGTAAGCGTGGTTCAAAACACCTTTCAAATGAACATTAGCTTAACAGTGAAGGATGGATAAAGTGATGAAAGCTGGCGGTTGTGATGTAGTTCCTTTTTCCATTGTGTAGTGTTTACCAACTAAAGTCACTGAAAAGTTTAGTAAACATTCCCAGACCATTTAAAAGCTGAAGCTGACGCAATGTTAAATATAAAGTACTTGTAAAAACATGAGGACGTGCAAGTGTGTCGCTGCCAGGCGGAACTTAGAGCTGGGTTTCTTAACTGTAGGGTTCCAGGTTATATGGATTAGCCGTTCCAGTGCTGTTAGGAGATGTCATCAAAAGCAGACTGTACACCAACTGTATATCCCACTGTCATAGCAGGCATATGACACCCCATGCAGCTCCACCTAGGAGCTTTCCTCATCCAGCTGACTACACATTGCTGTTATTTCTATTGAAACTGGGCAGTGAGAAATTAAGTTAATTTCATGCTTTTCTCGCAGTGTGGATGACATTTTCTTCTAATGTATACAGTGGATTGACGTAGGAAGCTTTTATTTATATTAAAGACTATTTAGCTTATGACTGATCACAGCACTGAGAGATCCATTTTTTGGATGAAACTATAATTGTAGACGCTGTGATCTGAGAACATGTTCATCTCGAGCCTGTAGAAACTGACTCAGGTAGGGACTCTAATCACAGTTACATCTTTTTCTGAATTATGGTGTGGTGATGTTGAATCTGGTGAGTGAAATACTATCTACATGAGGATTCAACTCACCAGAGCCCAGATTCAGACATTCTCAGTTGCCTAGTCTTGAAAACAACCATTACTACTTCATTTGCTTTGTCTGTACAGCAAGCCTCCAATAAATTTCTTCCTGTCTCTTACTGAGCCTTGTGGTGTGTATATTTTACTGTCTGATTTAAGAGGTAGAAATAATTTATCCTTTAGGATATAGATAAATAGGCAAGTTAAAGTGGAACGGTACTAGTTAAGAGACACAGAAAAGCCTGTGCAATAACAAAACTATATCACAGTCAATAAGCTACTATGTGGAGGACTTTAGAAACTCACCATTTTGTTACTGAATTGCTTAAAAGGCCCGTTTTGACAAGATTTATTGCCTGTGTGTGCTGGGTTCAGCTGTGGTTTTGTGGGGGTTTGGGGTGTCTTTTTCTTTTTTCTTTTTCTGTCAATTTTCTCCTGTTACCAAGCTCACTGAAGACACAAAGTAAAAAAGTAGATATTCTAAATACTTACAGTTGGAGTAATTAGGCTGGATGACCCATAGGAAGGGTTCTTAAAATGGGTGTACTTGGCTCTTGTGGTATGCAAACTACAGCAGCAAAAGAGAACCCATCCTTGCTGCCTTTTCCCAAGAGAAGGTGGGGACCAGCCTCCTGCATTCGCACGTCGCTGACCCAGCAGCGTTGGAGGGGGTCAGTGTCACTGCTGCTGCGCCATAAGAGGAAGCCATAGGGTGGGCAGCAAAGATGGAGCTGCTGCTGCTCCTGCAGCAAGGACATACTGCAGTTCTTCCCCTAGCAAGGGCACGTAACAACATTTGTTTCAAAAGTGACAGTCTTAAGCTTATTTTAAAGGTGATATGATTTTGGTGCATTGTAAAGGTCTTGATAACCCATGGTCTACTTTCTACCTAGTGGATGTTACCCCAAAAGAACAAATACTCAGAAACACATAATTTTTGAAATAATTAAGGCAAATAATTTTGTAGTAGATCAGTTAAATGTTTTGGTAAATTTGAAAATTGACATTTCCTACATTACTTGCTGTTGATATCAAAGAACATTAAAGAAGTGCTGGAGGTAAAGACTCTGACGTGCTGTTGGGGGGAAGCTGGTGTTTGTTACCGGGTGTTAGTAATCACCACCACTGTGTTTGAACTAAGTACTGCGCGCAACATCGTAGGCACCCGCTGTGAATGAGGCAACGTTGAAAATTAGCCAAGTCCTGTGCAGTGTAGGGTCTAGTCAACTGATGTACACAGGACATGAGGACAATGCGAATCTTTTGGTTTCTTGTAAGTTCATTTATTTTGACCTTCCTGTGCATGGAACAGATTGTTTGGGTTTTTTTTAATTTTATTTTACCCTGTGTTTTCTGTGGCCACTGCTCATTTCCTATTGGCACATGAGTTTTTGAGAGGCAGGAAAAAAAAGTCTAAATTTTCTGTAAGAATGAACATATTTAACTAAAACTTCTGGATGAAGATTGGTGTATTGACAAAGCTAAAATGAAACCCCAAAAGATCCTAACACAAAACCCTTAGCTGTGATTTTTAAGTTTTGTTACATTTTAATGAGAAAGGTGGTAAGGTGGTCTCTGAGACAATAAAAGCAGCAGTATGTGTTTATTTGCCCATGATAACTTTGAGCTACCAGCGCTTATGAGCGAAATTTTGTATCCTGCGAAGAGGTGCACAGTGCACCTCTGTCTTCTGGACCGTGACCTTGCTGGGAGCTTTCATGGTCACATAGATCCTGACAAATAGGTTCCTGTAGGCCTTCCTTCATGCCAAAAAGCTCCTGAAACACAGAAAGGCTTCCAGGGGAAAAACACATGTTCATACACACACACAGTAACTTTGTGTGACTAATCTGTTTTGTTGTAGTTTTCAAGAGTGTAGGATGCGGATTGTGATCTATGGAAGGATGTGTTTAGAGGAAGCACACTATGGATTTACATCCCAGTTTAATTCCTCATGTCTTTAACAAATGGTAAATGATAAAATGCTCTGTGTGTGTGTATATATATTTATATCAGTTTGAGAGCAGTGGGTCAGCACAAGGGATGGGGGTGTCAGTATCACGTCCAGGCACCATTGCAAATTTCTTGAGCAGTATTATATACTTGGATGTACACATTTCTTTTTCATTGATTTGTCTTATCTGTGAAATCCTGAAACTTTAGCCTCGTATAATTAATTTTCAAAATGTTTAAGGATGTGCATCATAATAGATGTTGCACAGTTTCATCTTACCTCTGGTACTGTCCTTGCTTTGGTGAAATATGAACCTGTACTGCCCTGTTAGTTGTTCCTTGCGTACCACGGACTGTTCGTGCGGGTTCAGCTGTTGGTGTTGCTTTGCGTGTGTGGACACCTAGCTTAGCACACCCCATTGCACATAGGTTTAAGAACGTTCAAACTAAAGCTTTAAAATGTGATCCTTTGCTTTCTGTTTCTACTTTCTTGTGTTAATATAGAAGGGTTTGCTCATATGCATATTGTAAAATCCAATATGTTGTGTATGTAACTATGCATGTAATGGTGAAACGTTAAAACTAAGCATCTGATTGTCTGGAAAAAGTTAAGCTAGAAAGTTTGTGAATGTACAGTCCTGCTGTATTTCTAATGTAAAAAGAATACAACTTAATAGAAAGTTTGCATCTGCTAGCAATTGAATCACCAATCAACTCATTTATTGCTGAAGTAAACTTGGCCAATGAGAAATCTGGGGTGAGACTATTCTGAACTAAGCGTATGGTGCCTGTGTCATAAAAATACCTCTGCCTCTCAAGCCACGGCTACGATGCAGCGTAGTGAGAATTGGGCAGTAGAGGTTGTGTATGATGGTCACACCCTGCAGAAGGATCAGAATTTGTGGAAACGGTGTATAGAGCGTGAAGAATCCAGTAACAGTGTATGCAGTGAGCCAGGCCCCATACAGCCAAGCCCATCCACGTGCGCAGAGGGCAGAACTTGTGTGGGATACCAGTTGGCTTCTCTGCCTTACACTTTGTTCTGAACTCCCGTGTGATTGTTGTATGGCTTGGGTTTCTGTTTTTTGTGTAATTAAAAAAAGTCCTTGTAGAATGGAATCTGGTCTTCTCAGCCATAATACTTCGAAAAGTGGTAGCTTTGAAGAGTTCTGTTTTGAATAGGTGGTTGTATAAATAATTTCAGTCATGGTATTTTGTTGTTTTATGAACATCTTTAAATTCAGGGGATACTACCATATTATTTATTCTGACAAGCCAAACAAATAAGGACATTGCATCCGTTCTGAATGCTTGCTAATCTGGAGCATTGAGGTTCCAGGGCTACATTAATTACCTCTTTCAAATTCCAGATAAATATCTTTGTTTTCTAGAGAGCATACCTTGATATTAATATAAAGTAACTTTGAGAGACCTGTAGCCTGGTATCGCTGCAGACATGAACAGAGGTTAATCGACGCAGTGTGTGAAGCTGGCAAAACTAGTTATCTGATTCCAAACAAAATCTAAGTGCATTTGGTAACCATTTTTGGGTGACAAGCCTAGTTGGAAATCGCAGCCAGAAAGATCTTGCATGAGGTGACAGTCTAAAGTTCAGGGTAGAACCAGCAAAACTCTTATAATTTATATATAAATACATGTTTACATTAGATGTGAGTGTGTCTATGCATGTGTATGTACACACAGATATTTATGGCTTCATGTATTCTGTGTGAGCCTCTTTTCTGTACAGTTTTTGTCTTTCTGGAGGAGGGTAAAGGCAGAGCCTTGAAAAGTCCTTCCCTGCTCTTATCAACATAGCAGCCTCAGCTGCCCTCCTTGGATCCCCTGCCAGGGTTGCTATCATCTTCTGATCAAATATTAATGTGTGATTCTCTGCTTGCTCACTAATCCAAAGCCAATTAATATTATCTGTCAATTATTTACAGATCCTGAGGTGCGGAGGCAATTCCCAGAGGACTACAGTGACCAGGTTTGGAATGCGTAATTAATTTTTTACATGACAAAATTTATTTCAGGGTTGTTCAACATATTATTGCTGCTCTTTTTACTGAAAGAGATAAATGCATTCTTAGAAAGAAAAAGAAGCTGTAATTAGGAGCAGAAGGAGAAAAACATTTTCACATTTCTTGCAGAAAATGGAAGAAATTTGGATCTCATAAGATTATTTTACAATCTAGTTTTTACAAGTGAACATGAGAGCGGGAAGGAGAATTGATTAATAAATTTCACTTTTTGCCTTTAGGTGCCACAGCCTGCAGTTAATTTGGCAGTCCTCACTGCATTGTCTGAAAGGTTTATAGCTTTATTTAACTGGGCACCTGGCACTACAGCACATTTTTTAAATTCTTGCTGGATCATGCAGTCTGTAATCTGTTTTGAAAAGATGGTATAAAAAGCTGACCGTGCAGATAGGACACACAGGTATTTGTCCATTAGGTTATGCACAGGTTGAATCTGGAATTTTTCACAGGATCTCTAGCTGACTTGGAAATTCACAACTTCAAGCTACCTTGTATTTTACTGTGTCTCATTAGAAGTGGATTGGCGCGGGGGTCAGAGGTTAGGGAGGGGGGATTATTGCTGTGGTGTCTATAAGTACCACTGGAGTTAATGTGCTGTTATTGTTTGTCAGTGTTTAGGGTAACTCCTGCATCCGCGTTGTGAGTGCAAGCTAATTTCTTGCACCTTTATTTCTGGGAAGTGCTGAAGTTATGGCATTGTATAACTATTTAATGTAACAATAAATTTTGCCTCAGCGAGTCTCTGATACTGAGTTAGGGTCAGCAGAGCTGGTTATTTCAGTTCCTTTCCCTCCAATTACATTTTCATGCAATATGAAATTTTGTGGCATTTAGACTAATGCGTTCAGCAGATTGTGAGATGTGTGATAGCTCTTCAGGGCCTGGACAAATGTTTTGATATTTGGCTGTAATCGCTGTGTGCAATGGGACCTTGACCAGGGCTTCTGGGTGCTTTTGAGGTAGTAGTAATAATATTTTTTTTCAAAGCAGCTATTGAACCCGACTGCTTTTCACTGTGGTTTATTATTAGGACTTCCTTTACACATGAAGTGGGGCATGGAACCCAACTTTTTGGGGGACTACTTCCTTATTGCCACTGTCAGTCTGTAATTTGTGAATAAGTAGATCCCGAAGTAGGTATTTACAAGATAAACTAACTACTTTTCAGCCCCTTATAGCTTATCAGGTTAATCGTGTGTGTACTGGTGGTCCTTCAGAGCTGGTACAGTCCATTGTGTCCATGGTCAAGGTATAACAGTAGTCTTGTACATAACATCTACTTCATGAAATTCTTAACAGTCCTCTCTCTTCTCCCTCAAATAATTAGACTTGTATAATATTGCTATGAATATGCAAGACTGAATCAAAGTCAGAGGAGCCACAAGCTCATATATAATTCTTAAGATGTTCACCCAGTTACAGTCAGAATTTCCGATCTCTGGTGTCAGACTCCACAAAATACACAGTTGTGCACTCGTGTGTTTGAGGGCATGGGGTGGATTCTTAAATCATCAGCTATTTCGCACATGCAAGCTTCTAGGGAAAGTAAAAGAAAGGTGGCTAAACTTCTCAAACTCAGACAAGATTTTAAATACATCTCCTCTCTTGATGTGCAGAAAGAGT